GAGAAAAATAAAAACATAAACTAAGCTCGAACCAAGAAATATTTCATAATGAGTCTAGGTACCCAAAATACAAAGGACCAAATGTATATATAGTGCTACTCCAAAAACACACACTTCTCACACACATAATTAATGATTCTGCAGTTCGTAAGTCTCTAAAATCACTTCGCAGCGAGTTTTGAGTGAAAATAACACACACGGGCGCGTTTCGCAGGCCGCCAAAGGAAACTCGCAGCAAGTGTGGCCCAGCTCCCTCGCGTCGTGCCGCTTCGCAGCTCGCGAACGACTTTTCGTAGAGAGTGCCGGTCGAGGCTGCGGCGCGCACTCGTGTCTCGCGGGTCGCCAAAAACTCCTCACAGCGAGTGCTCCATCTTGCCCGCACGCCTGGTTCGCAGCTCGCTAAATGATCTCGCGGGCGAGTGTCGAGGCTTGGCCACCTAGCGCTGTCTCACGGCCCGCGAATCGAATTTCACGACGAACGTGACACTCAACTCGATTCCTTCACTCGGGTGACTCAATCGAAAATCTCTCTCTCGAAAACTCATATGGATCGATCAAATGGCTCGACTAACTCGTCTCGGAATGGCTCGACATAAAAATCATGGACAATGGCTCGAAAAATAGTTCAGACAATAGCTCGTCTTCCCACAGAGGCATAAGGACCTAAACACACCAAAAGAGATAAGAAAATACGCCAAAATACAAAACACATAAAACACGACAAAATAGACCGGTTGACACAAAAACGAACCTAAAAACTACTCTATTAATGCACATAGAACGCAAGAAAACACCACAAAAACATAACAAACATTAAGCGGTGTTAAGACCTACACTCACGCTTAGACAGGCTAGGCGGTAGCGGCGCCTAGGCGTCTACATATTGTTTTTTAATTTTTTTTTTTTAATTTACTTTTTGAAAGAATAAAAACAATTTTAATTTATAATAAAAAAATAATTAAGTCACAGTTTTTACAATAATTATGAATGCATTAGGATTTGCATAATCTTTGTATTCAATCATATTAATTAATATACTTAATATAATGTATCTTATAATTTATACGTGATGAAAGTATGTTCCACCTTATAAATAGGCATTTTAATTTCAATTATAAAGATAAGTAAAAGTTATTTATTTATTTTGTATGTATATATAATATAGATAAATGTCAAATCGAAACTCGTCAAGAAATGATTAATCTCATATATTATATATAAAAACATATTAATAATTTTTAACTTTTAAATATATACATAATTTAAGTTAGTTAATTTGTTATAATTTTAAAAGAAAATATGAAAAAAAGAAAGAAAAATTGGAGAAAATAGTATACCTTATAAATTACGTCTGCAACATGAAGTGATATTAAAACATAATTAATGCTCTTATAAAGGATCATAAATATCCATTATATTTATGGATATTCAAAATCTAAGGACCATAAATACTCAGTGTATTTATAGATATTCCAAGCTAGTTAGTTTGGAGTAGAAATAAAGTAAAATTCATCGAAATCAAACTACAAAACTTAAAAATCTACCACATAGTATTTTGAAGTGTGCGAATCTACCACTTAAACATTCGTAAAATAAGATATAAGGAGATAATATTTTTTAATAAGTGTTACATGTTGGGAATAAATTTAGTTTATCACTTTTGTCCAAGACTCATATGAGATTAATAAGGGCATAGAAAAAGAAAGCAAAAGAATTATTGGCGGCAGCAAAAGAAAAAGGAGGTAAGGTGAGGTGGCGGTGGAGTCCAAGTTTAGTTTGAAGAAGGTGTGACCCCTCTTCAACGCACCCTCCTCACTTTTCTATATCTAACACGTGTTCTTCTCCTACATTTCAGCAATGTATTATTCTCTTCCCCTCTATTTATACCCTCCTCTCATCCCCTTTCCCCTCACGGCTCACACACACACACACAACAAGCCAAGCAAACCAAAGGAAGAAACAAAAAAAAAAACAAAAACTCTCATTCATTCTTCATTTATTTTCTCTCTTTATCTTCTTCAATCTTACTGCTAAACCTCAACCTCAAAATAGGTATCCATGGCCACCGTGAATCCTACATCCACAAGCCCTTTAATCAAATCCAAACACCACAAAACCTTATTACTCTTCAAAAGAGGAGGCTTCACCCACGCCACTAATTGCTCCCTCCAGGCCCCAACCATCCATCACCCCAAGATATCCTCCTCTGCTGTCGCCGCACCACCACCACCACCACCTCCACAGACCTCATCATCGCCACACCCCCAGTGGAACCCCTTCCAGCGGGCCGCCTCCGCCGCCCTGGACGCCGTTGAGCGCGCCCTCAACGCCCACGAACTCCAACACCCCCTCCCCAAAACCGCCGACCCCCGCGTCCAGATATCCGGCAACTTCTCCCCCGTCCCCGAGCAGCCCGTCCGCCATTCCCTCCCCGTCTCCGGCAAGATCCCGGACTCCATCCGCGGCGTCTACCTCCGCAACGGTGCCAACCCCCTCTTCGAGCCCCTCGCCGGCCACCACTTCTTCGACGGCGACGGCATGATCCACGCCGTCACCCTCCACGACGGCGCCGCCTCCTACGCCTGCCGCTTCACCCAAACCCACCGCCTCTCCCAGGAGCGTGCCCTCGGCCGCCCCATCTTCCCCAAAGCCATTGGCGAGCTCCACGGCCACTCCGGCATCGCCCGCCTTGCCCTCTTCTACGCCCGTAGCCTCTTCGGCCTCGTGGACCCCACACACGGCATGGGCGTCGTCAACGCCGGCCTCATCTTCTTCAATGGCCGCCTGCTCGCCATGTCGGAGGACGACCTTCCGTACCACGTCCGGGTCACCCCCAACGGCGACCTCGAGACCGCCGGCCGCTACGACTTCGGCGGCCAGCTGTTGTCCACCATGATCGCCCACCCGAAGCTCGACCCGGCCACCGGCGAGATGTTCGCCCTCAGCTACGACGTCATCCGGAAGCCCTACCTCAAGTACTTCAAATTCTCGAGAGACGGGAAGAAATCGGACGACGTGGAAATCCCCATTACAGACCCCACCATGATGCACGACTTCGCCATCACCGAGAATTTCGTGGTGGTGCCTGACCAACAAGTGGTGTTCCGGCTGTCCGAGATGGTACGCGGCGGCTCACCCGTCGTGTACGAAAAGAACAAGGTGTCCCGGTTCGGCGTGCTCGATAAAAACGCGCGAGATGCGCGAGGGATGAAATGGGTCGAGGTGCCCGACTGCTTCTGCTTCCACCTGTGGAACGCTTGGGAAGAGCCCGACACGGACGAGGTGGTCGTGATCGGCTCGTGCATGACCCCTCCCGACTCCATCTTCAACGAGTGCGACGAGGGCTTGGAAAGCGTGCTGTCCGAAATCCGACTCAATTTGAAGACGGGCCAGTCAAGCAGACGGGCGATTTTGTCCGAGGAGGATCAGGTCAATCTGGAGGCTGGTATGGTCAACAGGAACAGGCTCGGGAGGAAAACCCGCTATGCTTATCTAGCAATCGCCCAGCCGTGGCCCAAGGTTTCGGGTTTCGCCAAGGTGGATTTGTTCACGGGTCAGGTTGAGAAGTTTATTTACGGAGAGGAGAAATACGGTGGGGAGCCACTGTTTCTTCCGCGGGGACCAGAGTGGGAGCAGGAGGACGACGGGTATGTGCTGGCCTTCGTGCACGATGAGAAGGCGTGCAAGTCGGAGCTGCAGATTGTGAATGCCGTGACAATGGAATTGGAAGC